CATTTTTATCTGAATCACTTTATATTACAACCCACAGTCTTGTTTTTTTTTTTTCCTTTTTTTCCTTTTTCTTTTTTTTTTTTTTTTTTTACCGTCGTATTCCACCGTTCCTCCCCCCCCCCATCCACTATCATCGGTTTACTTGAAAAATCCATTGCATTTATTTATTTATTTTTTTTTTCAACTGATGTTGAAAATGAAATGGAATTATATAGATTGTTTGTTTGTTGTTGTTGTCAGTCGTTTGTTTAAAAATGCTGCACTTTTCTGTGACAGGAAGCGCGCATCTTTCCCTCAGAATCCATTTATTCCACAGACGGGTCAGATGGATGAAGTCTTTTATATAAATTAAATCATTTTTTTAAGTTGTTTTTTTTTTTTTTATTTATTTAATTCTTCCCCCTCCTTTATTGACTGTCTTCTTGTCTTCCTTTCTAAAAACCTTCTACTCTCCCTCCACCACTCTCCACAAACACCGATCTTCTGAAAGTCTCTCCTCTTTTTCCATTTTTGTATTTTCGTCGTCTTCAGCTACTTACATCATCGTCATCATTATTATTATTATTATTATTATTATTATTATTATTATTATTATTATTTATTTATTTATTCTTCTTATTATTTATTTATGTATGTTGAGAGTGGAAGGGCGGTGTGGGGAGCCGCGCACCATATTTCTTTTTGGGAATTGGAAGGATTTGTTGGTCATTAATCTTATTTTCTGTAAAATTCTTTATCATTGCTTATATTACCAGCCAAAGATCTTCTTCATCGTTGTCGCCATCGTTCAAGAAATGATGTGGCCTCTAACTGTCTACTTGCATCCATTAATTTCTTGCTGCATTCATTTTTCGCTTTCAATTTTCATACTTACGTAATTTTATTTATTTATTAGGTTTTTTTTTATTCATTGTCCAATTTTCTTTCTCCCAAGACTTCGTTTTTAATTTTTTTTTTTTTAGTGTTTGATTCTATTCAGTTTTTTTTTTTTGCATAAAGTCATACTTTCTCTTCAAAGTACATTTTAAAACTATTCTGACTTATATCCCCCCCATATTTTTTTTTTTTTTTTTTAGAAAAAAAACCGGATTTTCTTTTTATATTTTTCAAATTTTTTTTTTTTTATAGAAATTATTTTATACATTTTATGAATTTCTCTTTCTGTTTTTTTTTTCTCTTCTTTCTCTCTTTCGGAATGTATTTTATATAATATTTGGTTACATAAACTAGAAATTTTTAAACTCTTGACTCAGACAAAAAGGAAGATTAAAGAAATCGACAAATTTATGCAAAACTGTACCCATTTTTTTTTTTTTTTTAAACCAGTTTTTTGGTCATTTTTATTATGTTTTAAAAACTATTTCAACCTACCTACCTATTATTAGTGTACATCACTCTCTTGGCCTCCAGTTAATTTTGCATTTAAATTTTTGAAAATCAATGTCAATCGTGATCTTTACTCTCTAAATTCTCGTTCTTTTATTGCTTTCTCTCATTAATGTTTTTATTTTCCTTCAGTCAGTAACCCTTTGCGTCTTAGTGGCTTTATTGCCTTGCTTGTGATGAAAGAAGTTTAAGAAAATCATTTTTTGTGTAATAATGAGTTTTATAGGCAGCTTCTTTTTCATTTTCTTCAAAATGAAACCTAATTGAGAATAATTTTTTGTCCAAAATATTTAACATCGATTAAATTTCGGACAACTTACCTACTTATTTAAGAAAACTGAATGGAAAAAAAATATTTAACAAAAATTGTGAATTCTCTTTCATTTCGTTGACGTAAATAAAACGTTATTTAATTTTTCTCATTCATTGTTAATTTTTTATTTGCGTGAACTAAAAAAAAAAAAATCTTAAAACTTCATGGTGAAACAATAAATACTTTTTTAAAAAGTTCCCCTTGAAGTCACTGTAAAAATTGACACATGTGTCTGGTAATTTTTATTATTAATTATCCCGAAAATTATTTTATTTCAAATATAAAAAAAAAATGATTTTAATAAAAAAAAAATAATAAAAAAACTAATCACATCCAGCAATGTCTGCAAAAAAAGGTTATTTTTATTTAATTTAATGATGTAGATTAATAAACTTTTAAAAGACGATCACCCGATAGTAATTTTTTATTTGTACCAATCATTTTCCAGCCAACATTCATTACTTTTGATTTTTTTCTCTTTACTATCGTTTAAAAAAAAAAAAAAAAAACATTTGAAAAGTCCTCTAATAATAATAATAATAATTATTATCAATGCAAACATTTGAGTCGAAAATAAATTTGTCTATAATCTCGTTAAAGTTTGAATTGTTAACGCATTTTCAGCCTTCCATTACTATTGTTTTATTTTCTTATCAGTCAGATAACCAGCAAACGAACAAAACGCGTGTTGTGGGGACGTACTGTTTATTTTATTACTACGTGGGTATTACGAGATTTTATAAGGTTCTGGGATCGAGGGGTTTTAGCCTTTTTACTTTTTTTATTATCAGTGCTTCCATTCTTCTTGGTTTTTTTTTTTTTTTAAACACATGTCGATGAGACTGCTTGTTTTCTACAAGTATATTGCCGATTGAGTTTGGTAGGTTTCGTGTTTTTTTTTTTTTTTGTGGGCCCTAATTGAGCTGTGCATAACGGGGGTCATGAATTTGGTTTGACCAGGAACACTGTTCCTTAAAGGACATGTGAATTCCTAAAATAATATTGCTCCTCCTGTTTGGATCTTGCAGGAGACTTGTTATTGTTGATAAGTTTACTGTTTTATTTTATTTTTATTTTTATAGTAGATAATTAATTTAATTTTCTTTTTTCTGGTCGACTGTTATGTATTTCTTTAACTAAAGAGAAATATAGTTCCTGAAAATGATTCTTTCAAGTTGTCCATTTATTTATTTAAATGTCCTGCTTCTAAAATGTGTGTAAAGTTCGATTCTCACTGGGTGCTCTTCGGTTGTAGTCCTGTCATGAGCCATGCCTTTCTCACTGTGAACATTGGCGCAGTACAATCTTTGTTTTTTTTTTTTTCCTTTTTGATTCCGTGCCAGATAAATCTGAACTTTTTTTCTGGCTTATGAGTTTATATTTCTGAGTGGACGGAATTACTCGGTCTGTAAGCATTTCTAACTAGTTATTACCACACCTACAAGTTTGTGCAATACTGTTCTTAAATATTAAGCATATTTGGCTGTGAGGCATGTGCTTGATATACCTTTCTGACTGGATATTATAATGGGTATATTTTGTACCCTAGCGTTACTTGTGTGTGTGTGTTATTATCTCACTCAATAGTAGTAGTAGTAGTAGTAATAATAATAATAATAATAATAATAATGCATTATTTGTTGGGCTTTAAAAACTACCTTGCTTCAGTTACCCTGACATAGCTTAAAAAAAAGAAAGAAAGAAAGATAACACTGATCTGCTGGGTCAATCCATTCACTTATTCTGTTTGTAAACCAGATTAACTTAATGATCGCCCGTCTGGTAGAGTTTAGAACACTTGTCAGGATTATGTTAAGAGGTTGGTTTTAACACCCGAAGCTTTGTCTATGTTTTCTTTTATTTAAAATTTTTATTTATTTATTTATTTTGGCTTGCAACTGATTTCACTGTCCAAATTCAGTTAGTAAATCATCGTGCTGACTTCACTCTCCACTCCCATTAAAAAAAAAAACACAAAAAAAAAACACCAGAAAACATATTTCCATCACGATTACTTTACATCCACTTCTTCCTTAAGTGTCAATTTCCTAAGTCAATTGCAACTGTTAGCCTCTTTAGGGTCTAAATCCGTTCTTCATATAACGGAAACCTAAAACCTTATATTGGTATCAATACCCGTGGTCGGCGAACGAGAGCTAATTTTATTTGACGAGGGAGATAAGTATAGAGTTCAATAACACCCGTATTCAAATGTTAACACCCACTCAGGGTGTTCGTTGCTCAATTAATCATTTTTTTTTGCAATATTTATATATATATATATATATATATATATATATATATATATATATATATATATATGACAAAGCCTGGAAATTTGACTTACCAACCATAGTATTTCCTTTTAATCGTTAAGGTACTTAGATTTGTTGAAGTTGAATCAGGTTTTAATAATTAATGTTTTAGATTCAAAATCATTAATTTAATACCTCAAAATATGATCAACTCGAAGCAATTCACAACACTGTTTTCAGGTTGAAAGGGATTTTTTGTCCCTGTCTTTTCTGCTCTACAAACAACACACACACACATATCTCAAACACTAAATATTCCATGGTTATAATTTATTACATTGGAATTTTAATAATCACGATCCAATTCATCAGACCTATAAATTCAAAAAGAAATCGGAAAATATAACTCCGGGTAACTTTATCTCTCTCTCTCTCTCTTTCTCTCTCTCTCTCTCTCTCTCTCTCTCTATATATATATATATATATATATATATATATATATAATCTCCAAATGTAAAAGAACTAAGAATAAAATTCAAAACATTAATTTAAAACAGGGCTCAATACAAAAGTAGACCAATATAAATATTTATTATGCAATGTTACATTTAGAACTTAATGTTCTACTAAATGTAACTGTATTCTCTCTCTCTCTCTCTCTCTCTCTCTCGTATATTATACAGCTTTTTTTAAAAAAAATTAACCGTTCTGTTTTGGGCGACTTAAAATAGTCGGCGGTGATTACCTCTTAAGGGTTTCGGGTTTAGTTCCCAAAATATAATAGTCTCAGGAACGCCCCACCCATCTCCTGCTGGGTACGCTTTACGGAGAGCGAAATTAGGGAAGAAGATACTCGAATCTTTTGCAAATAAAATGAAGTAACAACTCGACCGCTTTCTTCATGTTGATTAATAATGTTTACCCTCGTCCCAGGTAGAGCCCTGACCATTAAAAACCTAGAAAGAAGAAAAAAAAAAACAAACTACCTTTACGTTTTATCTACACCCACCCACCTTAATTGTGTACCCCCCTTTTCCTGGCAACAGATGAAAACTGACCACAGTTGTAGTTTCTTTTCAGGTCATTTGATTGTGACCTTGTTACCTTTTTTTATCTGTCTTTTTTTTTTTTTTTTTTTTTTTTTTTTTAAATCACATTGGTCGGTGGGTCTGGAATGTAAACTGGCCATTGAATCTCTCTCTCCCTCTCTCTCTTACCCATCCCTCCCACGCCCACGCCGTCACCTGTGGCCATTCAAGGTTTCTCTGCTTCTCTTTCAATGTGTCTTAGGGTGGGGTTCCGGGGAATACTGGTCTCTCCATCTTTTATCATTATTGTCCAATTAATTGTCTGGTGTTTACTTTGTAAAGTGACAATTGCCAGTCCAAACTTTACCCTTTTACTCTTTCTTTATATAGCTTCTGAGTTCTCCCCCTCTCTCTATCTATCTCTCTCTCTCTCTCTCTCACACTCGATTTTATTTTTCTCTCTCTCTCTCACACACGATTTTATTTTTCTCTCTCTCTCACACACGATTTTATTTTTCTCTCTCTCTCACACACGATTTTATTTTTCTCTCTCTCTCACACACGATTTTATTTTTCTCTCTCTCTCTCACACGTTTTTATTTTTCTCTCTCTCTCACACACGATTTTATTTTTCTCTCTCTCTCACACACGATTTTATTTTTCTCTCTCTCTCACACACGATTTTATTTTTCTCTCTCTCTCACACACGATTTTATTTTTCTCTCTCTCACACGATTTTATTTTTCTCTCTCTCTCACACACGATTTTATTTTTTTCTCTCTCTCACACACGATTTTATTTTTTCTCTCTCTCTCACACACGATTTTTTTTTTTCTCTCTCTCACACGATTTTATTTTTTTCTCTCTCTCACGTTTTTATTTCTCTCTCTCTCACACGTTTTTATTTTTCTCTCTCTCTCTCTCTCACACGTTTTTATTTTTCTTTCTCTCTCTCTTTTATTTTTCTCTCTTTACACGTTTTTTTCTCTCTCTCTCTCTTTCACTCTTTTTTTTTTTTTCTCTCTCTCTTTCACTTTTTTTTTTTTTTCTCTCTCTCTTTCTCTTTTTTTTTTTCTCTCTCTCTTTCTCTTTTTTTTTCTCTCTCTCTCTCTTTTTTTATTTTTCTCTCTCTCTCTCTTTCACTCTTTTTTTTTTCTCTCTCTTTCTCTTTTCTCTTATTTTCTCTCTCTCTCTCTCCTCTTTTTTTTTTCTCTCTCTTTCTTTCTTTCTTTTTTTCTCTCTCTCTCTTTCACTCTTTTTTTTTCTCTCTCTTTCACTCTTTTTTTTTCTCTCTTTTCACTCTTTCTTTTTCTCTCTCTCTCTTTCACTCTTTCTTTTTCTCTCTCTCTCTTTCACTCTTTCTTTTTCTCTCTCTCTCTTTCACTCTTTCTTTTTCTCTCTCTCTCTTTCACTCTTTTTTTTTTCTTTCTCTCTCTCTTTCACTCTCTCTCTTTTCTCTTTCACTCTTTTTTCTCTTTCTCTCTCTTTCACTCTTTTTTTTTCTCTCTCTCTCTCTCTTTCACTCTTTTTTTTTTCTCTCTCTCTCTTTCACTCTTTTATTTTTCTCTCTCTCTCTCTTTCACTCTTTTTTTTTTCTCTCTCTCTTTCACTCTTTTTTTTTTCTCTCTCTCTCTCTTCTCTTTTTTTTTTTCTCTCTCTTTCCTCTTTTTTTTTTTCTCTCTCTTTCTTTCTTTTTTTTTTCTCTCTCTCTCTCTCTTTCACTCTTTTTTTTTTTCTCTCTCTCTCTCTTTCACTCTTTTATTTTTTCTCTCTCTCTCTCTCTTTCACTCTTTTATTTTTCTCTCTCTCTCTCTCTTTCACTCTTTTATTTTTTCTCTCTCTCTTTCACTCTTTTATTTTTTCTCTCTCTCTCTTTTTCTTTATTTTTCTCTCTCTCTCTTTCACTCTTTTATTTTTTTCTCTCTCTCTCTTTTCTCTTTTATTTTTTTTTTTCTCTCTCTCTTTCACTCTTTTTTTTTTTCTCTCTCTCTCTTTCACTTTTTTTCTCTCTCTCTCTCTCTTTTTCCTCTTTTTTTTTCTCTCTCTCTCTTTCACTCTTTTTATTTTCTCTCTCTCTCTCTTTCTCTTTTATTTTTTTCTCTCTCTTTCACTCTTTTATTTTTCTCTCTCTCTCTCTCTTTCCTTTTTTTTTTTCTCTCTCTCTCTATTTTTCTCTCTTTTATTTTATTTTCTCTCTCTCTCTTTCACTCTTTTTTTTTTTTTTCTCTCTCTCTTTCCTTTTTTTTATTTTTCTCTCTCTCTTTCCTCTTTTTTTTTTTTTTCTCTCTCTCTTTCACTCTTTTATTTTTTCTCTCTCTCTTTCACTCTTTTATTTTTTCTCTCTCTCTCTCTCACTCTTTTATTTTTCTCTCTCTCTCTCTCACTCTTTTATTTTTCTCTCTCTCTCTCTCTCTCTTTCACTCTTTTATTTTTCTCTCTCTTTCACTCATCTCCCTCACTTCCCTCTCTTTTATCTCCCATGTCTTTTTGCTCAGTCTTCACCCTGGTCTCTCTGTTTTTACTCTCTCTCTCTCCTTCCTTTCTCTCTCTCTCCTTCCTTTCTCTCTCTCTCCTTCCTTTCTCTCTCTCTCCTTCCTTTCTCTCTCTCTCCTTCCTCTCACTGTCTTTTCACTCTCTCCCTCTCCAATAAGTTTTCTCAAAATCTCTCCTTCTGTGTCTAACCTTCCACCACCCGGCGTCCTCCCTCTCTTTCATAATCTCTCAACTGGTAACATAGTATTTGTCCCAATCATTTTAACTTTCCCAACAACTGCCCAACCTTTACCCTGGCTATCTGCTTAGCCCATTTAAGCAGTAGACCATTTATTTGTCTGATTGTTGCTTGACCCCATTTTCATTAGGACAGACACCACACTAAACTTACTGGACTCTCAACGACCATCACACCTACTGTTAACTAAAAAAACCCGCTCACAGTTCTAAAAAAAATTCCAACCCCACATTGGTTACTTACAAAGAACTGTACACCTTCTCACCATTTTGTTTCTAAAATGAATGATTATAAAAGAGAAATAGAGAAAAATATTTGAAAAGCATTTTATTAAATGTTGACTGGTGTTAAAACGATTGCGATAGGACTATTATCTTGCTTTAGTTTTGTCGTCTCTCATGTCTGTGCAGCCAGTCTGTCCTCTGGTTTGGTTGGTGGGACAGTCACACTATACTTGTGACTTTTTTCTTCTTCTTCCATGCAATTGTCCTGAATTGCCAGAAGTCGGGAGAGGGGTGTGCAAAATAAAGTGTTTTGATTCGAGTTGTTACTAGTTGCAGAGGATGGTCACCCGGGGAAATGGACCATTTCTAATTCTTAGTAAGATAGCAATAAATTTAAATTGCATATATAGCCTTCTTTTCTTTTCTTTCATTGGGTCATCTGACCTTAAAAGCAAACAATGTAAACCCATTTCCACCTTCAATTTAAAAAAAAAAAAAAGAAAAAAAAATCCTTGAGTTGGGTAATGGTTAACGAGCTCATCTGGTTAACCATTACTACTCCTTGATTAGTGAGTTTGATCCTCACTGGGTGCCCTATACTTGTGGCATCGCACCTCAGCTGAGCTGCATAAATAAACTTTGTTGTAGGCCTTTGCTTTGAATTAAAAAAAAAAATTTTTTTACTTTTAGTGAATTTTATCAATATCTCTCCATCTTTGATTTGTTTTTAAAAAAATCTTGTCTTCAATGTTTCTTGATGTAGAACTGTAACCTGTGTATGTTGGATTTCATCCGCACTTCAATATGATTTCATTGATAAACACATTAATCTGAAGAAAGTATTTGCATTAGAGATTTATTTTTATTCAATTTTTTAATTAAATTACCTACTATTAATTTGATATATATATAAAAAATGTGTGTATGTGTGTGTGTGTATATATATATATATATATATATATATATATATATAAATGTGTATGTATGTATGTGTGTATATATATATATATATATATATGTGTGTGTGTATGTATATATTAAATAAAATGATTGAGGAGGGGATATTTTGCAGGGAGATATTGAAAATGAAGTATATTTCTTTTTTTAAAATATGGGCAAAAGATCAATTGATTGGAAATTAAAATGAATCTTCATCTATTCAATCAATGGAACATTTTTTAGGATTTCTAAACTTGTCATCAAAATCAAATTCTGTTTAAAATACAAAACCTGATTTCAGACCTTTAAAAACATTTAAGATAAAAAAAAAAATCTAAGTTTTCTATATTGATTTTTAATTTGGTTACTTAAAAAAACAAAAACTTGTAAATATAATTTTCATGTTCATTTTATGACAGACTTGATTATAACGAAGTAATCTAATTCTCCATTTTTGTATTACTTAGTTTTTCTTTTCCAGTAATTAGGTTTTTACTAAAGGTCACCATACATATCTGATGTTTCTTTTGAAAAGTCAGTGCTGGTTGATTCCGTTGTCAAATGCTAGAATTCTGTTTAATGGTCAGTTTCCGGTGTGGTAGTGGCCGTCTGGTCTGTTTTTGGTTTCAGTAACACCAGCATGTGTGGGAGGAAAGAGTGTATAGAATTATAGAAAGTGTATTATTATTATTATAGTTGTATCTAATGACAATTATAACCTATGTCAAGTTACGGTTTTGGGACCTCTAGGAAGTAGAGGCACTTGTGGAAATATCCATTGTTGGGAATCCGACATCCCATAATAGTTTGCTGATAACCAGAAAGGAATGAAGAATTTATAGTCACTGTGTGTGTGTGTGTGTTTGTTTGTGTGTGTCTATGGAAGTAGCTTGAGAAATCCAGAGCCTCTCCTGCTTTTACCACAAACACACATACACACACACTCCAGAATAAACTAAGAAAGAGATGAAGTGAAAGTATCTAAAAGAAATCCTACCAAAAGAAAGCCCACATAAATAGAAACAGATACCTACCTTATTAAAAGTCAACTGTGCTCAAACTCTATAGAATGAAGAAACATGAAATTGGGGACCAACCCAAGTCAGAGCCATAATAATCAAGAAAGGTAGTCACACACACACACATATATATATATATATATATATATATATATATATATAATAATCCGAAGGTATATAATCCAAGTAAATCCTAATATGAAATATTAAAACTGATCCACAAAAAGAGTTCAAGGTATTTATTATAACAGAGCTTATATGCATAGATTAAAAATCCAAAACTACCTCATTAGGAAAGTAGCTATTTTGATCCACAGACTTTCTTGTGGACCTTATCAATTTAGAGATGGTAGGAATGATGTTTTCCTAACATCTCTGAATTGATAACGTCCAGAAGAAAAGCTTGTGGATCAAAATAGCTATTTTCAGAATAAGGTAGTTTTGGATTTTTAATCTCTCACACACACACACATATATATATATATATATATATATATATATATATATATATATATATATATAATGACACTCACTTGAATTCAGCTGCACTCAACATATGAAGGCTTGGGATATATTTATACTATTTACATTGTTTGAACTGTTCTACTCCTCTTTATTGCTATATTCACAATGTTTCAGCTGTTGTGCATTCTGGCTTTCTTCAGGTGATGTACATTATACTTTCAAACTGAACTATTTACTTAGTCCACTGAGGTAGATTGTTCTAGTTTCACATGCCATGCCTCTTCTGCATATATAACCTGAAGGAGGCTGAAGTGCAAAATGTCATGAATATGACAGTAAAAATAAGGACAACCGTTCGAACAATGTAAATAGCGTAATTGTTACAATACCTCATTTCAAAAATGCACACACACTCACATATATATATATATATATATATATATATATAAAGATTAGCTTTTCTTAGTTTTTCTAGATGTATTAACAAGATGTGGACTTTTACGGATTAACTCCCTTTGTCCTAACTTGAAGTATTTATAATGCAATATAATATTCTCTTAAAATATTCTTTACTTTTGCTGTATAAGGTCTTTTTTTTTTTTTTTTTTTTTTTTTGATAGTATCTCTCAGCCTGACCATTAAAGTATAGTGTGAGTTATTGTCAGGTTTTGTTGGGTTTTACTTCCCTTTGTCATTATTTTGCACCTGTTATGCATATGTATCCAAGGTGTATTGTCAAAAATGGGTTTGGCTATTTTGTAACCGACCTGTGATGTATCACCTTAAAATCAGTCCAACTTCAGTGACCCGGAAATTCTTTTTGTGTGCAAGATGTTCCTTATTTTAATTATGTGATATACTTGATCCTCTTGACAGTTAGGATTCGTTTCTTCAGAGGATATCACTAATATATATATATATATATATATATATATATATATATATATATATATATATATATATATATATAAAATGGGTAAAAATGTGTGACAAAGTGGAAAAAGTTTTCTTATCACATGTTTTGCCCTTTAGGACTTCATTGGATTAAATTTATTTTGGTGTGATTACACAAGTGCATTAATGAGTAATGCTGGGAATTTTTTTTATTCTAGCCAATTTAATTTTGATAAAATCCAAAGAATCTGCGATATTATTGGTTCTGACCTGGCATTTCAGCTTCAATTACTTACCCACAGCCATAAAGTTGCTTCCCTCTGCCTTTTCTATAATTGCTTTCATGATAATTGTTTGGATGAACTCTTTGCTATAGTACCTAGGTTTTATGATTTTAAGCAAAGTACTAGATTGACGGCAAGGTCTCACAGTTGAATTGGCTAGATGTAACTGTAAGTTATATGCTAAAAGTTTCTTTTCTCACACTTCCCACTTGTGGAACTCTCTTCCAGCTCTATGCTTTCTGGCCAACTTTGAACTTCAAAAATTTAAATGCAGTGTCAATTGTTATCTACCATTTTCTCGATTACCCTTCTATTGTTTTTGCTCTTTAATAAAGTTTTCTAATTCTTTTACACCCAGTAACCCCCTTGTGTCTTAGTGGCTTTACTGCCTTGGGTATTTTGATGTAAAAAATAAAATAAATATTCCTAGTCATAGACAGTGGAAATACAGTCTACTCAAATTTATGATTTTAGTATGTCAGGTTGTACTTTTTATTTATTTTTAAGAACTCACTTTATTTCTACCTTTTTCTAGTTTCATTTTTTTCCTTTCTCTCTCTCTTCAATTTCCTTGTGGTCATTGATAGATTAGAGTGTCATTAGTAGACTGGGTTAAACTCTACTGGCTGACCGCAGGTCATTTATTACACACAGGCATCATGGGATTAATCTGGGCTTCCATTTTTTTTTTTCCTTTCTGACCGATCAATGCAATGAAATGGACTGTTACTAGTCTTTTTTTGTAATCGCCCCCACCCGTCTATAGCCATTAGTCAAGTAATAGTGGGCTGAAGATACTATCTTTCCACTACTTTGTGGAACTGTCTCCCAAGAGGATGCTCCCCCTCCCCCTACAATCTTAACCTGCTCAAATCTAGGGTTAACTGTTATCTTCTCCACATATCCTCATAAACTGTGCCTTTTACCTCTTACTCTGTAACCCTCTACCTTGAGTAGCTCTTGGGTCTTGAACAGAGTGAATATTTATTGTAAAAAATAAAAATAAAATTTACCCCCCCAAGTTGTATCATTTGACATTTTTTTTTTTTTTTTTTATTTATGATTCCCCACCCTTGGTTAATTTCTAACCCACCCACTGGATTTGTATGTATTTTCTTGTGTGTGGAAGGGGTATTGATCAGTTGAAAAAAACTTCTTTTTTTTTACCCTTTATGACTTTCTGTGCAGTACTTATTGATTAAACTCACCCCCCCCCCCTGCTCCACACTTCCTTTCAAAGATTTCA